AAACTCAGCCTGGAAATGGCAGACGCGGCTTTTTTTAACCTTCCCCCGGCTCGGGGAGGGAGCATCCACGGAAGACGGGTGGCATCGGCCGCGTCCCCAGCGAGGTCTGTCCGGAGCCGGAGGTGATGCAGGAAGGGAGAGGCTCAGCGGGGAGCACCGAGCGGCTCCCGGCACAGCAGCGCAGGGCCGCGGCAGCCTCAGCCGCGACCGCTGAAGGAGACGCGACGAGCCACGCAGCGCTGAGCCAGCGGGCGGCCTGCAGCGCGGCCACGGAGCGCGGCGCACAGCCGGGAGCGCGGGGCCGGGAGCGCACCGCACCGCACCGCACCGCCGGGGCAGCGCAGCCGGAGCGGCCGGACGGCGGTGCGCGACGGGCGGCGCGGCAGCTTCGCACGGCCGAACCCCGCGCTCGGATCCCGCACCGCTCGGCCCCCCCGCCGGAGCCGACCGCACTCGGGCGATGCGGGACGCGGCTCCGGGAGCCGCCCGGTACCGAGCGCCGCCTCCCCGGAAGGCCGAGCTCCGCCCGAAGCCGGGCCGCGGAGCGCTGCGGGCTCGGACGCGGCGCGGAAGCGGCGGCGCGGGGTCCGCTCGGTCCGACCCGACCTGGCGCCCGTTCCCCGCATCCCGGCCCCGCACTCACCGGCCCCCGCCGAGCGGGCGGCTCCGGCCTCAGCGCCCCGCCGGCCCCGCCGCCATCCCGGGCACCGCCCCGCGCACGCGCGGCACCGCAGGGGGGGGGGGGGAGCCGCTGCGCGTGCGCGTGCGGGCGGTGCAGGGCGGGCGTCGGGCCGAGCGCGGTGCCGGGCTGCCCTTGGCTGCTCGGTGGCCCCGCGGACGCCCGCAGAGCGCGGCCGGCCCCGGCCTGTCGCCCTTCCCCGCTTAGCGGAGAAGCGATTCGTGCCGCTCGCCGTTCAGATCCGTCCCTGCGGCGGCTGCTGTGAGCTGAACGCCTTCGGCAATCGCCCCCGCTGCGGTGCTTTCAGATGGGGGTGGTTCTTGTGAGCGGCCCTGCCTGCCTGCAGGAAATAGAGGAAGAGACAAAACCGGGGCAGGGGTGAAGCTTTCTCACTAAGGGAGAAAGGAAAGCCGCAATATCAGCTTTAAAAATAGCCGTGACTCCATCACCACAACCAGCACCGGGGTGGGGGGGAAGACGTGTCCCCGGTCCCAGAGCAGAGCCACAGCTCTGGAGGGGTGTGGGAGGAGATGCTGGCACGGCCCTACAGCAAAGGGAGGAAGGCTGAGTGCTGGGAGCAGTCTGTGCGGCCGGCCCTGGCAGCAGGTGTGTGCAGAAGGCGATGCTGTGCCATAGGCACGAGTGGGGCATCACCCCATGCAGCCACACAGCAACGCTCCCGTCTGCCTTGCAAAGCTCTCTGCAGGGCTCGTGTGCAGGAGGAGCTCTGCCAGCTCTGTGCACACACACATGCGTTGGAGCACGTTGAACAGTGCGGGGTGACAGTGGAGGTGCCTTCTCTTGAGCACAGCATGCTTTGCTGGTGGGCTTTGTTGAATTTCCCCATTGCTTGTGACCACGTTACAGCCACAGTGCTTGCAGCCTTCTACAAACATAATAGGAATGGGAGAGGCTCTCTGTGCCCCGGTGCTGGGCAGTGTGACCACAGTCCTGGGCAGTATCTGGGGCATCGGTGCTTTTAAAAGCCATTCCTGAGCGCTGAGCCACCCTCCTGCATCCACACCCCAACTCCAGCTTGGGCTGATCCTTCCCAATTACAGCTTCCCCGTGACCTGCCCTATTGCCTCATTCAGCTCCTCGCTGCGCCTGTCTTTGAAGGAAGTGGAGCGATTAGATCAGAACATAAGGCTTGCCAAAGAAAGTATTTACAGGCTCCTCGTTGCTCCTGGAACAGAAGATGAGGGATGTTGCAATGAGACAGGGCGACACGCGGTGACTCAGCTCACACCCTGAGATGTGCCAGGGCAGCGGGCAGGAGCAGGAGACAGGAGATAACAGCAGTGACAGCCCTGACCCCTCACCCTGACGGGGAGCTGACAGTCCTTGTTTGTGGGCGTCCGCTCTGGTGACACCACGCTCATTGCGGATGAGGACTGACCCCATGGAGCACACAGCCCTGCTCCTGCGGCTGCCCCTCTCCCCACACATCGCTGCTTACCACCACATTCCTGTGCCTGCTTGTTCCCAAGCCGATGGCCTCGATGCAGCAGCACGTTTCATGCCAGCAGTGCCAGGCTGCACATCCTGAGCCCTGAGATGGGCCCTGGGCTGCTTGGCTGAAGCTGATGTCTGTGCCGGGCACAGTTGTGCTCAGCATCTCGCCAGGAACTTTGTTAGCTTCCAGGAACCAAACCAGCCACGTCTCAGTGCTCGCCTGGCACCGCAGAGTGGAAACTGCCAGCACTGCTGCCCTGGGTGACCACAGACTGTGAGCACTGGGTCACACAGAGCTGACTTCTGCTGAGTTCACTTCCCCTTGTCCTGCTCTCTTCCAGCTCGTCGGCTTTGCTGCAGCACTGGCTGGTGCAATTCAGAGCCTGTGTTTGTTACTCCTGAGCACCACCTCCAAGGAGATGCCAGTGCCAGATGCAAGTGCCACTGCATTCCTCATCTGCTGAAGAACATCTCCATGCAGTGGCACTTGCTGCTGGGCCTTGAGATGAGCAGCAGACCCTGGAGAGCCCCTGGAGCTAACAGGACACGAGCCCAGCTCTCACATGGCCCTTGTGGCAGGGGCACACAGGATCCTAAACCCCTTGCCCAACCACTGGGATCTCACCAGCAGTTGCACTGGAAATGCATGCATGCACACAGATACCCAAATCCTCGCTGGCCACAGGCAGGTGGGCCTGGCTCTGGACTCAGCTCCCTACACCACACAGGACCTCATGCGGAGGACATGGCATACCAGGCTGCAAAATGGGTGCAGGAGCCCTCAGCAGGCTCAGCTACCCTTGCCAGAAGGAATACACAAAATAGAGAAACCTGCAGGGAGAAGTGGAAATGAAATTCTTGCAGATGATGGTGGGTATCTCCTAGCCAGCGTGCAGCATGTCAGCAACCATGAGGTTCCAATGCAGTGCTGTGGTGAGAGAGCCTGCTGGGGATGGCCAGGCAGCAAGGCGAGCTCACCAAACACAAAATAATCCAAATTAAGTCCTTCAAAACCAGCGGTTTCTTTCACAAACAGGAAAAGCAGCAAGATGCAAAGCCCTCGGCAAGCTGAAAAACCACATTCGTGCAGATGAAAAGTTATTTTGAGCGCTATTTGGTTACAGCACCAAACTGAAAGCTGGTGTTTGCAAATCTGCCAGAAGGAAGGAGAGGGCTGGGCGCCCTCTGCAGCAGGCAGGGATGGGAGTGCTGTCAGTGGGGTTACGGGTGGGTCAGCAGCACGGCTCGATTTGTAAAGCAAACGCTCAGCAGTTCGGAAGTAAGGGTAGGAATGAGTGGGCAGGGACTGTGCCAGAGCTGTGCTCAGGAAGGGCGGCAGGGGGATGCAGCGCAGGCAGGCAGGGCAGCGCCCGGGGCCATTGGTTGTTTTCAGTGTGACACTGCGTTAGGGCAGGCTTCGCTGTGATGCCAGATCGGAGGCTCTTGAAATCTTCAAGGATTCTCCTTTTCCTCCCACCCTTTCCCATCGCTTTCCTCGTGGTTTCTCTTGGACGGGCTTTGACTTGGTGAAGCACTTTGTATTTTGGTTTACCAGATATTCTCTTCCTAAACTGAATGTCATCAGGTTGTGATCACTGTTCCCTAGGCAACAACCATCAGAATTACAGAGCTGTGATCAGAAATTAATGCTGTTTTAAAAAGTAGCTCCAGGTGCTCATGTGAATTGAGCAGAGCTGCACCTGCAGCCACGTCGGGGTGCTGAGCACCCAGAGCAAGGTAAGAGTTGTTCTGTAGAAGCACTGGTAAGCACTGTCACAGAGATGCTTTTGCAGAGACCAAGAAGCAGAGGATCAGCAGAAGCCAACTGCGCAGCTGACACTGCAGGTGCCTCTTTTCTGTGCTCTGTAACCACATCTGTTCCATCCTTCCACAGCACAGTCAGCATCTGGAACCTGTTCTCAAAAGCAAAGAGAAGTGAGGGGGAGAGCACCGTTGCACAGGGGACAGATAGAACTTCCCAGGAGCTGCTTGCCTGGTTGTCAGTGTAATCTTTCTCTTCTGATAACGGCGTGAAGGCAATTAGATAAGAGGCTTTAATTTAAAACAACAGAAAACCTTCATCCCAGGAGGTTGCCTCTTCCATCCGGCAGGCTCAGGGATCTCTAAGACTGAATGCAGCTGTGTGAGGTTCTCATGTCATGGTACTTTCCATCCCGTTATAGCATTACAATATGATACACACACACATATAAATACAAAACAAGTGACACATGGTGCAATTGCTCACTGCCCACCAATTGATGCCCAGCCCACCCGCTGTGCCAGAGCCACAGAACTGAGCCTCCTCCAAAGGTTCTGGGTTCTGCAGCAGCCAAGGGAATGGCTCCAGCCAACGGGATGTGGGTTTGGTGCCCCCAGAGCCACCCCCACTGTTCCCATGGTGGGGCAAGTAGAAGGAATCTGAGGTAAGGAGAATGAAAGCAACCTGTCACTTGAAAATCAGAGGCTGTGGGACAGGCTGCTTATGAACTCCTCCACGCAGCTACAACAGCCATAGAATTGTGCAATATCCCCAGTTGGAAGGGATCCACAAGGATCAAATCAACCCCCGGCTCCACAAAGAGCCACTCAAACACCCCTCAGGGCACGGTTGGCCCTTCTGCAGGTTCAGATTCAAGTTGCCACCAACTGGAATGCACAGATCCCTTTTTGCAGGGCTGTTCTCCAGCCCCTCACCCCCCATTCTGTACATACAGCCAGGGCTGCCCCATCCCCACTGCAGAACTTGGCACTTGCTCTTCTTAGTGCAGATGCTGACCACCCTCAAATTTGTCCTGATCTCAGTGCAAGGTCTCTCTACCCTCAGAGGACCCAACACTCCTCCCAGCTTAGCATCATTCACAAATTTACTTCATGCAACTTCCAGATCTTTATTAGAATCAACAGTAAAGAGAACCAGACCGAAGATGGAGCCCCACAGAATCCCTGTGCTGACAAGTAGGGCAACTCTCAGGCCATAGCCTCCCCTTGCTCAACACAGCCATGTTTTGGTCACCACAGGACATTTTTAGGGTCACATCACCATGGCCTTACAATGTCACGAGCCATCTCCATGCTGACTGCTATCAAAACAGGGACCCTGACAGCAGAACACCAGTTGCTGACTGACTGAAGTCTGGAAAGCACACATCTGAGGAGCTCCTCACCTACACCCTTCCTTCCCATTCTGGAAACTTTTGCGGACAATTGATCATCCACCAAAGCAGCTTTGGCTTCTAGAAATGAGACTCTTCTTTCAGCAGCACCTCAACAGTGACATGGAACCCCTGTGCTGAATGGCTCTGCAGCTGTTGCTTAGTCTAATGTGATGGACAGACAGTGCTGAGGTGGGTTTGAGAGGTGCTTCTGTAAAAGGCAGCTGTGGAGTTGTAGGACTGGCACCGCTGACAGAAGAGTAGCCTGAGCTCCCTTCACAGCTGGGATTTCTTGAGGCAACACAGGCTGAAAAAACTCTGCGAGTTTCATCTGGAGTCCCGGCCTTCCTCGGCGGTGCTGCGTGCCCAGGACCCTCGACAGAGAGGCTGTCCTCATCACTGGAGTCCTGACAGCAGTGCTCTGCTGGATCCATGTACACCACTGTCACATCCAGGATTCCACTGGGACTGGTGACTGAGGGATGAGAGAAGGAAAAGGCCAGTCAGAATTTGGGCAACACCAAGCTAACAGTCGAGCAGAGAAAAAAAGTGCAAGTGTAAACCTTGTCGAGAGGGGAGGGTAAGGGTAGAGCTTACCCTCATTAAAGTAATTTAATATTTCCCTCTCGCCCTGTTTGGAGAGGTACTGCCCAACTTGGAAAATGAAAGGCCACAGCCTGTGTGTCAATAAAACAAACAGCTGACAGCGTTCCAACACTGGCTACAGTGTGACCCATTCAAGGCTGGTTATGCTGTAGCAGCATCTGAAAACATTGTCTTGGAAATGCTGAGTGGCTGCAAAATCCTTAAGTTCTGAAGCAGTGAAGAGAAGAAATGTACCCCTAAAAGTTTAACAACTATAACCACTGGGGGGAGAAGGAGAGTTTCCCCAGCTGCTCTTAGGAAAGTTTAGGCTCTTCTGGCGCTCCCAGAAGGAGTTTTATGTAAAAATAAAAAGGCAGGTTTTCAGGTTCTCTTATGTGTTTTTGTTTGTTTGCTTTTTTTAAATAAGACTAAAAGCCTTACCATCTCCATCTCTCTCACCTTCGCTTTCCTGATCACCTTCATAACCAGAGCAGGAATCTAAACTCCAGTCCAGGAAGCTGTCCAGAAGACTTTCTTCCTGGGTGGACAGCTCAGCTGTAGGTGTAGTCACCAGGCTGCCCCTGTCATCCTGAGCGCTGTCTTCCCTCCTCCTGTAGCAAGAACATCCAGAAGTCACACATTAAAAGCCAACTCTGCTTCTCCAGCTCTTCTAATAGAGATGTCAGGCCAAGGTAACGGCAGAAGGAATGGAAGCTCAGGATGCCAGAGAGGAGGAAAGGCTCACGCAAGTCTTCACAGACCTTTACAGCCATGGGTTATACTCACCTTTTAGATCTCTTTCCAGAGGGAGAGCTAAAGAAAGCTTTAATTTCTATGACGTTTGTGTGCAGGGGACTGGGTTTCAGGTCCTCCTGCTTCACACCCAGCAGTGAACAGAGCTGGCTGTAGCTCATCACCTGAAAAACAAAGGGTTAAGAGTTAGACCATGTGATTCCCTCTGCCAGGAAGCAGCTATTTTATCCTTATTTATCTTTATTTCTTTCCAGGAGAAAGCTATCCTGTTGAGTCCTTCCTAGAACTGCTGTTCAACCACAGCAGTTACAGTCCCAGCAGACGAAATTTAGCAGCCCCAACCCTATCCAGCCATTCTCTACTTCCAAAACCTGAAGTTAAAACCCATTTCTCATTACTGGAAGTTTTGAACACCCTGCCATACAGGAGATTTTTCTCAAGGAGTCAGATTTCAGCAAATGAACTACAACAGCAACCCCACCTTTTCTTGGCCTATTTTGTCATAATGCTCATCTTCAGATTGTCTTTAAGTGCAGTGAGACAACACCTGCCTGTAATCCTTAGGGACCTCATCATGGAAACTGGAAAGAAAGACCAGAGCTTTAATCTTAGAATGGATTATATAGAACATTGTTAGCAAATTCTGGCCATGTAAGCACCTTCCCTCTGTCCACCTCAGCTCTGTGCCGAGGAAACTGGCATTTCAGCAGAGCTGCTAAGCATGCAAGCATCCAATTCCTTTTCTGTTTCTTGAGATATTTGACTTCCAGCCTTTCAGAAATGAATTACTTTTGCTACTGAGCTCCTTCTGGAGCTCATCAAAAACTGGTCACAATCACCTGAAAACAGTGATGCTGGCAAGCTGAAACCTGCTGGGCTTGGGGAGCACCAGGGCTTCTGTAACCCAGGGCCACTGGCAGGCAAGACAAACGCAACAGCCGTCACTGAAGCAGCCCCTAGATTTCAGTGCCCTGGGGTAGGGGAGTAAAGCAGTTTGCTACAGCCACCTCCTCCCTTGTGAAGGACTTCCAGCAGGGCTACGAGAGCCAGAATACAAAAACACTCCCAGAAGAGTTCCCCAAGTTTTACCATTTTTGGTGAAGGCGCAGCACACACGGCAACAGGTCTTCAAGAGAGAACCCAGTGCACTCAGACAGCTGGCTGGTCCAGGGATGTGCTGGAGGAGGGAACAGGCATTACCATTTCACAGAGCTCGCAAGTTCTATAGTCAGACAGAGCTGTTAATGGGGTAAAGATCATGCCTGTGTGGTGACAATCTTTAGGAGCTTTTGCCTGCACACAGCTGAAGTTCAGAATTTGCTTCTAGGATAGGCTTACTTGAGAAATGGAATCTACGCCTAAGTAGAATTCTACTGCATAGATAAGGGCAAAACCCTTCAGTCTCATTTAAATGCAGGGCTCACGTTATTGCTACAGACCGAACTCAACTCCATTCCCACATATTACACCTTTCCCCCCTCCCACACTCCCCAGGGTGGTTGGGGCACCTTGCCCACAGAGGCTCCCTGAAGGGACGAGGCAGCCTGATGCACTTTGCTGCAGCTCCACTGAACGGGCTGCTCCTTACCGTGGCCATGCAGGATTTTAGCCAGCAGCAGTGCTGCAGCAGCCAGCCGAGCTGGGGAGTACCCGAAAAGGCTCGTGTTTAGGAGAGACAGCTCACAAATGAAGCTGTAAAGGTGAAGAGTTCTTCCCTCCAGTGAGACTATGTTTGACAGCACTTCTTTGTAGTCCACAATAGTAGGTATCTAATGCACAAAGGAGAACAGAGGTTGGCAACACAACTCAAGCACCAAGTATTTAGACCACAGTTGTTCTCACAAGACACTGCTTTCATTACCAAGTATTATTTTAAATTCTATGCTAACACTGAAATACTCCCCAGTGAAACAATAAATGATCTCTGAACGTGCCTTAAGAAGCTCAAGTTTTAATCTCCACAGGAAGGCAGATGGTTTGGTATCTGCATGCTCTTAAATGTGCAGTCTCCACAGGGAACACTTACAACACAACTTTGTTCTTTTTATACAAGAGATCCACTTCAACTGCAGCCCCAGGGATAAAATTGCCCATCCGCTTCCCAAATTCACCCTTATCTTTAGTTAATATCTTATTAATAACTTAATATCTCACATGTGGGAGACAAAGGCACATGGCCAATCTCTTTTTAGTGGTCTGTGGGGACAGGACAAGGGGAAATGGCCATAAACTGGAGCACAGGAAGTTCCACACCAATATGCAAAAGAACTTGTTCACAGTGAGGTGATGGAGCACTGGAACGGGCTGCCCAGAGAAGTTGTGGAGTCTCCTTCTCTGGAGATGTTCAAGACCTGCCTGGATGCCTCCCTGTGCAGCCTGCTGTAGGGAGCCTGCTTTGGCAGGGGTTGGACTCGACGATCTCTAGAGGTCCATCCCAACCCGTACAATTCTGTGATCTTTCCTTCTAGGGCACAGATGATCACAACCATCATTCTGACCAAGTCTTCATTTTTGTATGTGTTGTCTGTTAGCCATACAGCCTCCTGTATCATCAAGATCTCTTTGCTGATAAAACTGCAATATCAAATGTTATTAACAGTCAGACCCAGCAGAAAGAGAATTTGTCTGTGGGGACATAAGATCCTAAGCCTGGGAGAAGTATTTTACAAATTTAACTTTACAAATACCAACACTCAAAGCAGAGTTCATTTGCTAACTCCTGGCACTGCACAAAGTGCTGGGCAAGTCGCCTCCTCCTGTCAGCCATCAGTCCCTTCTGATTCACCCAGCACACCAGGGATGTAACAGAGCTCAGCTGGAAGTTTACAAAAGATCACCTCTCAGTGCAAGTCCAAAAGCTATGCAATGGGCACACCTGGGAGTTGCAGAAGCTCTGTGTGCCAGGCTATCACTGAACACCTAGCTATGTGCTGCCCAGTTCTTAAGTTACACTGAAAGACAAAGCTGAAGAGGCATGACAGCAAATGAAACCTAACACACACTGAGGAGAGCAGACTTCTGCACATCACTGCTCTAGAATCTGAGCACAGAACCATCAGTATTCAAAAGAAATAGCTTTGTAGGCAACCAGCAAAACCTGAGACAATTAGTCTGATCTGTATCTATAATTAAGCCATCAGCTCATCTGTGTAACATTCAATAGTGCCATTTTCCTCAGGGATCCAAGTAAAGTTTGCATGCTTACAGCCTTCACTGTGCAGGTACGCTACCCCCAGCTTCACAGCAGCTTCAAAGTTGCCCCTTTCAGCAGCCCTGAATGGGAACAGAGAAGATACTTCAAGTTGAAGTCAATAGATGCTTCCACATCAGACAAGTTACTGCAGTGAAGGCCTCACTCTGAATTTGTTGTTTGCTGATCACAAGCACATCTGATTTCACTACAGAAGTTACACGTGAGTTATGACACGGCTCTCCTTGCTGCAGTACTTTCATACATCCGTCCAGGACAATCTGACAGCTCACAGGAATCATTTCCCACTCCCAGGCAACACCCCCAACGCAAGAAAGCAGGTTTAGGTGCTTGCACCATCAGGGATCTGCCTCAGTCCCTGAGACAGTTTGACAGCACACAAAAGGCAAGGAAAACAGGAGAGGAAACTGAACCTTTCAGCTGGATAAAGACCACTTCAAACTTGTTATTCCCTGCCACCTCAAAAGTGCCACAGGCTTTAGAGTTCCTTTTTCTGCACTGTAGAGCTTTGCCTGCAGCCTGGCTCTGTTTGTATCACTTTCATCAGGTAGCAAAAATCATTTCAAGGCAGGCAGCTGATGCACTGGGACGCAGCAACATTCGTTACGGTGCTTTGCTCCCAGAGGTCACATCATATCCCAGACCAACCGAGGAGAAATTACTCTCTCCTCTGCACAGCCTCTGCAGCCTTCCCACAGCCCTTGAGGACGGCAGGGATACGGCCTGGCAGAAAAGGGATTTCCCTTCTGCTGGGGAACAGGTGCCCAAGGAACGTTCACATCCCACGTGCCGCTGTGTAACCGCTCCATGCCCGTGCCCCACGTGCTTCTGGATGGGCAGCACAGCTTTTGGTTCACTCAGCCGCCTGTGGCACAGCACATCAGGCTTTCTGCAGGCATGGGAAATCATCCCATCGCTTTGTGCCTTACAATGAGTCGAAAACCTTCTCTTCTCAGACTCCAACTTCCAATCCCTACACCTACAAAGAAGCAGATTCTGTTTTTCTAATATCCTTCAAGTCCATATTTTCCCAAAAGAAAAGAATTCCGACGTAACCACCTACAGCTCAGCAAGCGATTTCAGTGCCTATTTCTGATTGTGGCAATTACTCAGTTCAGAGGTCCCACTTAATTTGAGGTGCCTGTTTTTATTCAGACAAAGGCTGCAGTTGCAGCTGACTCCCCAAGACTGCAATAGGAGGTGGTGACACAGCCTTGGGCTTCCGTGTTTGTGCTAATCCCACGTTTCCTTTCTCTGCCTTGCAGGGCAGCTCGTGCTGCAAGCGGCCAGGATCGCACTGTGAATGAAGGTCGGCGTGGGAGCAGCTGCTGATGGGAGCAGGAAGTCCAGGCTGATGCACTCTGAGACGCGTCTGTCCCCGTAAAACCAGAGGGCTGGCTCATCCAAATGCTTGCTGATTGTTTGGAAGATCAAATTCTGAAGCTCAAATCCTTCCAGCCTCCAAGCTGGAGGCAGCACTGAGGCAACATCTCCCGGGTCCAATCGTGTGGCGTCTGAGTGAGAGGGTGACCTGAGATGGCTGCACAAGAGTCACCTTAATTTCTCTTAAAATCTTACTTCCAATAACCCCACTGGGTGACCCTTGTGTCAGTCTCTTGAAATTTGGATCTAGGAGGTGACTGTTCCATTGGTTTATAATGTTCCACAGGAGTGATGCGGAACCATGGTGAGGTCACAGTCGTTGCTGGGGTGGCAGGGCTTGGCCCCAGGGTGGCGAGCAGAGCTGGTGCTCTAGTGAGCGCGTGGCACACAGAGACTGAGCTCTGAGCGTTTTGTGGCAAGGATCATCCTTGAGAGCCCGTCAGAAGCACCGCTGCGGCGTGTGTGTGACCTGGGCACAGCCTGGACTGACCTGGACCAAGAGGTGAGCTGGGCTTGGTGCTGCGTGGTGGCTGGAAGGAGTCTCAGCAGAAAAGCTGGGCTGGGGAGGACTTCCCAGCTCAAACGAGGCCCTTCCCAATGGCTGTTGCCAGGGGAAATTGATTCTCTGAGAGATTGTGGCACACGTTTGGGTGAGGATGACGAATTGCCATCACTCCCCTGTGTAACGCTGCAGTGCAATGGAAAGTGCAGCAGTAACAACAGGGTGGCAAAATCCGAGGCTGCAGCAAGGGAGGATTTGCCCAAGTGCAGCAGTTGGGGACACAGAAAGAAAGGAAAAAAGCTGCTGAGCCTTGGAAGGCCCCAGGTAGCAGGGATCTCCACTCAGACACCCTTGCCTCCACTGCCAACCCTTCAGTGATGTCTGGGAAGAGTTTGTGTGCACCTGAGCTGCCCTGCCTTCCCACCAGGTGCTCAATCACTGCCTCAAGCTGTGACTGACCATTGCCACTACAGCCCTGCAAAACTGCTGCTGGGCCCCAGCCTTCACCTCAGACAGGACAAAGGAAGAAGGGCACAGACTTGATGCAGTGCAACTTGTGCTTTAATGACCCACGGAGCGCTGGCTGTGCCGTATCCAGCCCATTTTTAACAAAACCCCACTGAAGTCCCGGTGGAGAGCCGGGTGCTCAGCTGGGGACATGCACTGTCCGGTGACATCACAGGCACGGTGACATCACAAGCACTGTGCTGGGGCCGTGGCTGCCACCAGTGAGTGCCACAGCCGTGAGCGCTGCGCAGCAGTGTGGACACGCTGCGTCAGCTCTCGTCCCGGCTGGCAGTGAGAGTGGTGGTGGCTGACGGGTGCTGCCCGCTGTCGCTGACGGTGCTGCTCAGCCATTGGGCTGGAGTGTGAGCTGGAAGGGAGAGGGACTGCAGCTGTGCCTGGTAAGCCAGAACTGTAGGTTCGTCAAACGTGGGAGTCGTACCAGTGCATCCATTGCAGCTGCAGCAAGAGGAGAAGATGAAGGGAGTCATTTTCATGTCAGGAACGCAAAATGCGTGCTGCTAGGGGTAGAACTGGTGGTGAGATGGAGGACAGTGCTTGCTGGGAGAAGTGGTGGCAGTTAGACACAAGGTGGATCTAGACTTGGCACAGTTCTTGCAACCTGCTGCTTCCCAGACACTGCCCTCCTCCAGAGTCCATGCGGCATAAAAGAAGAAAGCTGCCAAATGCTTATTCCTCATGATTCTTCCCTTGTTGACGCCTCCTCTAGGGTTCCTGTCCGAGAGGACATTTTGTGGATCCCAGCAGGTGCGGACTGCAGCCGGCTCCTTCATAGAGCAGGGAATTCCTTTGGAGACAGCCCATCCTTGCTCCAAGAAGTTCCCCATGGCTCTGCAAGGAGACGACTGCTACTACTATTTCAACTCCGTCTGTCTTAAGGTACGCTTGGGAGTCTTTTGCCTGGATTTCCTTCCTTTCCTCGCTTTGAAGAGGAAGGGCTGGAGCAGGGGGAGACCTGCTGGCGATGCGTTGCCTTCCTCAGCAGAGGCATTGTGCGCTCCCTGCTACCAACCTGGGCCGACAGCACGGACGTCTTTCAGGCTGTGCTCTTATTCTCCTGTGTGCTCTCCTTTTGCTCACAGGGAGACAGATGTCCCTTCCGCCACTGTGAGGCGGCTCTGGGCAGCGAACGAGTCTGCCGACTGTGGATACAGGGCTGCTGTTTCCGCAACGACTGCAAGTTCAGACACATGAAAATTGAAGTGAGTGTTTGCCTGAAGATGAGCTCTCCACCTCCCTCAGGCACCACCTGCAGCGCTGCATCTCTCTGCAAACCTCCTCTGCCTGTTTCCATGACCCTTCCTTGCTTTCTCTCTTCAGAAGAAGCGCAGCGCGGTTCCCTGCTACTGGGAGAATCAGCCGGGAGGCTGTCAGAAAGCCCACTGCCGTTTTCTTCACTTGAAGGAACGCGGTGGGAACGGACCGACCGTACCACCAAGTGACGGTGAGTTCCTGATGGCATGAAGCATGACAGACTTAATGATGAATATTGCTCCTGTGCGGGTGCAGGATGTCAGGTAACATTCATTGGGGAGCGCAGGGAAGAGTGGTGATCAGTGAAATATTGGTTTGTGTTTGGGCTGTCAGAATAGGGGTGGGTGTTTTCTGGAGAGAGGTCAATGCATTGCAGGTCTGTGCCGACTGCAGAAATGGCACAACATTTGAGCAGGGGAAAGGCAAATGCAAGAAACTATGCTTGAAAGTTGGAAGCTTGTAGCTTGGTGTGCTGAACCCTTCCTCCAAAGAGATGCTCTTCAATTATTTCTTGTCTCCTTTCTGCCAGAAGCTGTCACAAGTGGCCTCCCTCTGAACAGCAGCCCTGCAGAAAGTCTGGAGAACCAGACAGAGGTTGAGGAGGCAGCAGAAGGAGGTACAGATACTGAACAGGCATCTGGGTTTGAGGCGCTGCCTTTCGACTCCCATGTTCTGATTGTTCTCTCCTGGACTGTTCTCTGCAGGTGACATCCCATCTTCCTCCCATGGCCCCGCTGCGCAAAAGCGCAAGCAATGCGATGAGGAGGAGGACGACAAAGCAGAGGAACTGCCGCGCAAGAAGAGAGTCAAGGGTGAGCACCAGGAGCTTGTTGCAGTGCCTCAGCACAGTCATGCGGCCACTCAGCGTTGCTGTGTGTCAGAGTTTTCCTTGCCCTGGACTATTGCTGAGTGCAGCTCTTGGGTTTCTTTGTTCCTTTCGATGCGCTGTAGGTTGACAGAGAGGACTGTGTGCAAAACATTGCTGAAGTCCTGGACATGGCAATGTAATTCTGCTGGACAAATGTAGTTTACTTCCTGGAAGGGTTGTGGGAATGATAGGAGAACGGGGATTTCTCTTGAGGCACAGCAAGTCCTTATCAGCAACCTCTTCCTTTTCCTTCAGCTGGACGCAAGGTGCGCGGGAGGCCTATTGACTGGAAGACCACCTTCCCCACAATGCGGAGACTGAAGCGCAAAGCAGCGGAGATGCAACCATCTGCTGCTGAGGACGCCGACGAGCCCCCAGCCAGAAAACTGCCTATGGTAAGAGCTGCAGTAGTGCGTATGGGAGGTTTACACTGCTCTCGTAGTAATGGTACAAGTTTCAAATGTTCCTCCTGTCCTACTCTGGCCAGGGCTGCCAGCCACAAGACTCAAATGCCTGGAAACCAGCTAGGTCCGGAATGCCTCTGGCAATGGGGCATCCACAGCTTCTCCGAGAAGAAGAGCCACTTAGAAAAGCTTTGAGCCCTGCTTCACACACACACTCTTCTTTCTTCCTAGGCGATCCTTGCTTCAGTCCCGCCCGAGTACACCCTGGTCAGCGTTGAAGTCCTGAAGCTTCCAAGCAGGTGATGACCGCTACTTGTTCTTCACCAGTGCCCTTTACCCATTGCACATAAGTTCTTTCACATCAGGGGACAAGTGGAGTGTCTGAGATGTGCCGTGGCATAACCCAACAAAGGAAGAAGTCATCTGCACTAATTTCAATTGCTCACTCAAAGTCTCTGCTGAGTATGTCACGGGCAGCAGGAACTCAGTCTCTAACAGGTGGACGTAACAGAGGATGACTTCTTCATGCATTTACAGTCAAACAATGAGGCTGGCAGTGTGCTTCTGCTACAAAACCTGGCCCCTGTTGGCTGGACACAAACTGCTCTATCTGTACACATCAATTGCCACTGTGACACATGTGCCTGCTGGTATCTTGCACTCTCAAGGCAGCCTCAGGTGAACTGAATCGCCATCCCTCTGCGAGCGTGAGGTGCGGGAGGGGTTAACCACAGATCTCAGAGCTGGTAGCTGAAAGCGTACCTGCAGTTAGAAATGTCAGGTGCTGATTGTTCTCTTCCTTGTTCTCCCCAGTCTGGAACTGCTTCCAGGAAGCCAGGCAGACTCTGTGGCACCACCAGAGATCCCACACTCAACATCCCGTGCCACACAAGAAGCTGACCAGGTGCAGCAGCTGAGCTGCACAGAGGTGGGGAAAGAACACTTCTCTGAGGATGAGGACCTCGAGAAGTTACTGATGGAAGTCACTGATGAAGAACTGGACGCAGAAATTGATGACGACTCTATGGATATAGATGAGCTCCTAATGGAGCTCTGAGACCAACGACATCACAACATCATAGTCTGATTGTATATTTTACAACAACAACAACCATCAATTAAAACCAATCCTATTCCCTTTCAACCCTGTTCCTTGCCTTTCTTATTCTGAGGGGACGCTCTTTCTCAATCTGTGCAATGAGTCTTAAAGCAGAGTCAAACTGGTCAAAATCAGCAGTGCCTGCATTCTGTTCTCCTGACTTCCCTGCTGCTCAGAGTTCAGGGGCCGTGCACCCACTCCCCAGCCCTGGGCGGCTGCCTTCAGCATCAAGAGCACAAAGCACTGGTGTGGGCACAGAAAGACGTCCATCCGCAAGGCCAAACCTGAAACCTCTTCCTTCCTCCCCCCTTAGCAAAACTCTGCATTGGTTTCAAGTGGAAGCTCTGGGGTTCTGCTTCCTTCAACACTGCTTTTGTGTCAACTGCAGCGCTGCCACCCCCACCTCCCACTTTCTCCCCCTTCCCTCAGGTCTCACGCTGCATGGTGCGGTTCTTCTCCTTGAACAAAAGCTGCACACCCAGTACAACCAGCACACCCCTTTCCTTGCCTACACCCTGCTTGCCCGTGGGCAGCAAGGGGCAGCGGCTTGCAGCGTTAGGGCAATCCCTTATTGCATCTGACTCCTGCTGCTCATCCCATTGCCCAAGAACAGCGGTGGAGCCACTCAGCTCCTGACAGCCCAGTGCATCTGCACTGGATCCTGGCCAAGGGGGCAGCACGGAATTGGTGAGGCCAGCAAGTGCTGGCGTTTGTGCCGCTGGCGCTAAGGAGCAGAAGGTGGCACCATCCATGGAGCTGCTCTGTACAAGCACCTGGCCCAACCTGGGTCGGGATGCCTCTCAGGGACGACGGAATCCTCAGGGCTGTCGACCAATGGAAGCTGGGGCAAAGTCCTCCCACTCGAGTCAGCCACAGTCATCATCTGCAGAGGAAGGCCAGTGCATGGTGAACGTCTGCTCTACATTCAAGGCGAGGGAAACCGTGAGCAGAGGCCAGCTCACTCTTCTTACATTCACTTCCCTACTTGTTTATGCCCTGTAATTATACGCATTTGTTGCACAAGGGTTTCTGTTACTTTACTTGATCCACGTATTTCTGTGTGTCCTTTTCTGTCTGTATCTGTACATAGACGTAGGGTATCCTGTTAGTGAGTTGGATCTCGCCATCTCTGAATCTGTACTCAGGCCTCTGTTTAATTATCGTGTATTTCATTAAATCACATGACTGAACTCCTCACTGTTTAATGATTAAGTGCTGTTATAATGTTAGAGTGAGCTAAGAATTATCAGTATCATTAAATTATCAGTAACTCTTGCGTGGCTTCTCAGTAGAACCAAGTGAAATGCAGTTGTCATTTCCTGTGATGCCAAATTGGTGGAGTCAGCAGAATGACAAAGAGAGCCACCACACCATTACCAAGATGTGAGATCCACCCAAAGCCTACATTCCCTGAGGATTTGGTTTGTGATAACTGGTGTAAGTGGGCAGAGGGAGGAGAGCATTAACTGATGCTGGAGGTTTGACTGAGGGTCGGGAAGATAAAGGCATAGTCTGCAAAAGGTTGCAGTGTGTCTTGACCTGCCAGGAGAGGGGAAAACCAACCTGTGGGTGCAGAAACATCAATTGCTTATGGTGATCCAACCGAATTCCAAGGAGACAGAATGACGGTTGGTGGGGTTGGGGAAAGACCGTCCCTGTAACCCAGACATGGTTGAAGTTGGGGGCTGGGCATCTCCCTCCCTGGCAGTATAATAAGGTGTCTGCTGTTCAGTCCCAGAGTGCATATGGGGCATAGTTTGGGTCTGACCCTCCCGATGACCGTAGGAGAGTTCAGACTGAGAGGAAGATGTATTAGTACTGGGTGGCACAGGTGATATTAAGAGGCCATGCAAAACTGGAGCCTATTCCTTGCCAAATCTGTGCCACATCACTAATACTAAACATACAGGATAGACTCCCAGGGGGCAAGAGGAAATCTCTAGAATGCTGCAGGAACTAGAAAACGCTGGGATCATAGACCTGCACGTAGCCCAGCATCACAGGAAAACAGCAGGAGGTAAGAATGGCCAGAAGCCCGGCCGTACAACAGTCCCATTCTGAGTGCACCTTGTATCGTAACGTCTGCTGCTGCTTAGATCTCACCTTTCTCCAGCATAGCAGAGGAAGGCAAAGATCACTGAGTCGGGGAGCCAAGAAGTAAGCAAGTGCAAGATCCTTCCTCCTTGAGATTTGGTATTTCTTTTAACTCCAGCCTTTACTATACTGGCCCAGACAATAAAAAGCGTCTAACACGCTGAGTGGTTTTTCTTATTCTGGTGATGACCTATAATGGCGAAGACTATCTAAAAACTTAGAAAGCTGAAGACAAAAATAAGTCCCCCTGCATAACAGCCACCTCTCAGACAGACTTAGCAGGGTGACGGAGGGGATCCTCCCTCTCTGCTCTGCCCTGCTGAGGCCACTTTGCGAATACCATCCACTCACTGTGATGTGTGCCTACCACCTCCTGCTCATCTGCCATGTCCTGGGGCACTGGCATCACTGAGCGTTTGATGGGAAGGGCACACGCTGGCACGACCATGCACCTAAACACTGGTGAGCACCTATGGTACCCAGGAGTCCTTCCTCAATGTCACACTGAGTGGCTGATACGGCACAGGACCAGCTGTGTCCTTTGGTTACCCTGTGCTCCAGGGCAGTGGCTATGAAGTCGCTCTGGTCTGTGGACAGGAGGAAATGGCAAGGGGAAGGAGCTGGGCACTGAGGTGTGTGAGTGGAGCGGGGTATTCCAGGGGACCCAGGGTGTGGGGCCTCCCAAATTCGAGAACTCCAACTCAGTGGTAGACCAGGAGTCTGGGATCATCCCATCCCATTTCCACCCCCGGTCCCCATAGCTCAGTGGTGGAACCAGCAGTCTGGGATCTCCCCATCGTATTTCTAGTCCTCGGTTCCCATAACAGGGGTGTCTGGGATCTCCCCATCCCATCTACAACCCCATGAGCCCATGTTGGAGTTGTGAACTCAGGGATCCTGAGATTTCCCTGTCCCATGTGCACTCCAAGTGCCTCATTGCCAACACCAAGGGAGTGTCCCCACTGCACTGACCCGCTGATGCCACCCCTCCAGGAGGCTGGCTGCTCTGTCCCCCTGCTCCTGCTGATGTCAGGGGGCCGAGTGCGCACGGAGCAAAGGGGGGACAGCAAAGGATGGTGCTGCTACTGGGGGTGCACGTGGCCTTCAGTGGTGACAGTGCTGTGACAGCGACTGCGGCAACGGAGCTGCAGGAACAGCTCTGTGGGATCTGTGTCCATCTTGAGAATAGGGGGACAAAGCACTGCGAGTGGAGGATGGGAATGGGATTGGGTGCACAGTTCTGGGGTCTGGAGGTGGGGTTGGGTGGGAAATGGGATGAACCAGCCCGTAAACTGCTGACAGGACGGGACGACATAGGGTTGGGGATGGGATGGGGAGCACAGCTGTGGTGTCTGTAGATAGGGTTAGGACGAGGTGGGGATGGAGATAGGGAGCAATGGAGATGAGGAAAGAGGGCTGGAGAAGAGTGATGAAGGGAGAAAGGGATTGAAAAATGGTTGAAGTAGTGCTGAGGGAAGGAGGAAGAAAGAAATGGATGAAGAGATGGAGAAGTGGGTGAAGAGGACGAGGGGAGGAGAAATGGAGGATGCTTGGAGGGCTGTGGAACCCTTCTACTAATCTACTACTAATCTAACTGCTCCTTCTCTTCCCCCCAGCCCCGTCCTGCTCATCCAAACACCCACAGGAGCTGTGTGCCACCATCCCAAACCCTGTCCCCAACCCCAGTATCATCCCCAAACAATTCCTCACCAATGCCACCTGCTAAGCCCTGGGTGTGGGCCATGGCTGCACCTTTGACCACCTCCAGCACGATTTCTCAGGCTTCTGCCTCTACCTTTTGACTGAACACTGCTTGAGAAACAAGAGCCCCAGATTCTTCGGTGTCCTCATCCAGGGCAGCCCTGGCAGTGCCATTGGTGCCCAAGTCCATGTCTTCCGCACGGTGAAGGAGCTGGAGCCTGGGCGGGTGCTGATGAGTAGACCTTGGGATGAATAAGAGAAGAGGGGCAGTGCTGAGTAAAGATATCAAATGGTCTTCAGAAGGGTGGTAGGTGGAACATGGAGCCCATGGAGTGCCCCAGGAACTCAGGAACACAGGGAGAGAACCCAACATTCCAAGGGGGACACAGCATTCTGCGTGGGACCCTGGCACCCAGGAAGGGACTGAGGGCTTGTTTGTTTGTTTGTTTTTAATATTTTGTAAAAAAAGCTTCCCTCCTTGTGTTAGAACAATGTTCTGAAGTTTTATATTTGTCTCTACATTCCTTCATCAGCTGGGACGTTGATGCCGCTGCACACATCTCCTGTTTTGTCATTCTGGTTTGTGTAAAAGATTGGTGAGATGTGCAATCTCTGCATGAAATTTCATTCAAGTGTTTTCCTTTATTTGCCCCCAGGAAGCAATGGCTTGGAAATGGCGGTGTCAGCCAGGAGCCCACACTGCAAACTGAAGTCTCATCATGTGGATCTGTTGAAAACCGCCGTGATGACAAAGGAACGTTTGCATCGTTTCCGTGCTGACTGTCACACAGCCTTGCAGAGCAGGTAGGGACATGGCATGGCAGAGAAAAGGGATTTCCCTCCTGATGGGGAACAGGTGCCCAAGGAACGTTCACATCCCACGTGCCGCTGTGTAAGCCCCCCTTGCCCGTGTGCCCCACGTGCTTCTGAATGGGCAGCACAGCTTTTGGTTCACTCAGCCGCCTGTGGCACAGCACATCAGGCTTTCTGCAGGCATGGGAGATCATCCCATCGCTTTGTGCCTTACAAGGAAAAGGAAAACTTCCTCTTGTGAGAGTCCGACTTCCAACCCTTACCGCCAGCAGTGAAGAAGATGCCGTTTTTCTTGTATCCTTCAATTCCAAGCCCATATTTTCCAGAAGGCACAAGAATTCAAATTTGAACTCCAGCGAGCGATTTCAGTGCCTATTTCTGATTGTGGCAATTATTCAGTTCAGAGGTCCCAATCAGGTGCTGATTGTTCTCTTCCTTGTTCTCCCCAGTCTGGAACTGCTTCCAGGAAGCCAGGCAGACTCTGTGGCACCATCAGAGATCCCACATTTAACATCCCGTGCCACACAAGAAGCTGACCAGGCGCAGCAGCAGAGCTGCACAGAAGTGGGGAAAGAACACTTCTCTGAGGATGAGGACCTCGAGAAGTTACTGATGGAAGTCACAGAAGAAGAACTCGATGCAGAAATTGATGACGACTCTGTGGATATAGATGAGCTCCTAATGGAGCTCTGAGACCAACGACATCACAACATCATAGTCTGATTGTATATTTTACAACAACAACAACCATCAATTAAAACCAATCCTATTCCTTTTCAACCCTGTTCCTTGTCTTTCTGTTTCTGAGGGGACGCTCTTTCTCAATCTGTGCAATGAGTCTTAAAGCAGAGTCAAACTGGTCAAAATCAGCAGTGCCTGCATTCTGTTCTCCTGACTTCCCTGCTGCTCAGAGTTCAGGAGCTGTGCACCCACTCCCCAGCCCTGGGCGGCTGCCTTCAGCATCAAGAGCACAAAGCACTGGTGTGGGCACAGAAAGACGTCCATCCGCAAGGCCAAACCTGAAACCTCTTCCTTCCTCCCCCCTTAGCAAAACTCTGCATTGGCTTCAAGTGGAAGCTCTGGGGTTCTGCTTCCTTCAACACTGCTTTTGTGTCAACTGCAGCGCTGCCACCCCCACCTCCCACTTTCTCCCCCTTCCCTCAGGTCTCACGCTGCATGGTGCGGTTCTTCTCCTTGAACAAAAGCTGCACACCCAGTACAACCAGCACACCCCTTTCCTTGCCTACACCCTGCTTGCCCGTGGGCAGCAAGGGGCAGCGGCTTGCAGCGTTAGGGCAATCCCTTATTGCATCTGACTCCTGCTGCTCATCCCATTGCCCAAGAACAGCGGTGGAGTCACTCAGCTCCTGACAGCCCAGTGCATCTGCACGGGATCCTGGCCAAGGGGGCAGCACGGAATTGGTGAGGCCAGCAAGTGCTGGCGCTTGTGCCGCTGGCGCTAAGGAGCAGAAGGTGGCACCATCCATGGAGCTGCTCTGTACAAGCACCTGGCCCAACCTGGGTCGGGACGCCTCTCAGCGATGAACACAGCCTCAGGGCTGTCTATCAGTGGAAGCTGGGGCAAAGTCCTCCCACTCGAGTCAGCCACAGTTGTCACCCCCTGAGGAAGGCCAGTGCTTGGTGAACGTCTGCTCTACATTCAAGGCGAGGGAAACCGTGAGCAGAGGCCAGCTCACTCTTCTTACATTCACTTCCCTACTTGTTTATGTCTTTAAATTATAGCATTTCTATCTCAAATGTTGTTTTACATCCACACATTTCTCTTTTTCTGTGTGTGCCCGTGACCATCCGTACACAGGTGTAGGGCATTATGTGAGCCAGTGTGGATCTTGTCCTTTCAGATTAACATAACAGGTTCCAGTTCATGTGCTATGTTCAAACCAGGAACACTAATGCCCTTTCAGTAATAACTCCCATGTGTGCCCTAGGCCCTGCTCCTATTAACAGAACAGCAGATATTATTTGCAGCTTAGACACAAAGTCGGCGACCCTCATCGCTCTACGCAAAGACTTCCACAAATACGGACAGACAGCGTTGCCACTTACAGAGAAGATCAACAGGAATTGTTTGTGTAAAGGGAAATGCCCTCCTCTGCAACCTCCAAGGAATAAAGGTGCTCAAAGCTCACCTTTCAAACACCTTCAGAGGTTTTTGAGAAGGCCATATGTCTTCACAACTTGCTGCAGGCTGTTTCCTGGAGTGTGTGCTTGCATGTGACAGCCCTGGCAAGCATGGCAACGTGTTAGAAGTCTGATCAACATCAGGAAAACTGCATTCAATGCAGAAAATCACAGAATGGCCTGGGTTGGAAGGGACCTCAAGGATCATGAAGCTCCAGCCCCCTGCCACACGCAGGGCCACCAACCTCCACATTTCACACCAGCCCAGGCTGCCCAGGGCCCCATCCAACCTGGCCTTGAACACCTCCAGGGATGGACGGGGCATCACAGCCTCTCTGGGCAGCTGTTCCAGCACCTCACCACTCTCACAGCAAAGAACTTCCCCTGACATCCAACCTCAATCTGCCCTCCCTCAACTTCAAACCATTTCCCCTTGTCCTGCTGTTATCCACCCTTTTCAGGAGTTGACTCCCCTCCTGTCTGTAGGCTCCCTTTAGGCACTGCAGGCTGCAATGAGGTCACCCCCAGCCTTCTTTGCTCCAGGCTGAACAAGCCCAGCTCCCTCAGCCTGTCTTTGCAGTGGAGGTGCTGCAGCCCCTGATCATCTCTGTGGCTCCCCTGCACCCTCTCCAACAGCTCCCTGTCCTGCTTGGCCTGGGGGCTCCAGCCCTGGACGCAGTGCTGCAGATGGGGCCTCACAAGAGCAGAGCAGAGAGGGACGCTCACCTCCCTGTCCCTGCTGCCCACCCCTCTGCTGATGCAGCCCACGATCCCGTTTGCTTTCCCAGCTGTCATCACACACTGCTGCCTCACGTTCGGCTTTTCAGCCATCAGGACCCCCAGCTCCTTCTCTGCAGGGCTGCCCTCCACCACTGCTCCCCCCACTCCGTATCCATGCCCGGCATTCCTCCAGCCCCACTGCCAAACCCTGCACTCTGCTGCCTCGAACCTCACCACGTTCACCCGGCTCCTCCTGCCCACAGCCCATCCGTGTCCATTCGCACCCCCGGCGATGGGCGCCCGCAGCTCCGGGCAGCAGCGCAGCGCCGCACGCAGCAAGGAGCTCCCGCGCACCCCGCCTCGCACGCACCTCGCGAGCAGCGCAGCTCCGACAGGGGCACGACGCGGATCTCCCCGCTGCTCAGCACGTCGCCATGCGGCCTCGTCTCTGTGGGAGCGGACGGAGGCTGAGAGCCGCGGCTCCCCGGCCTCGCCTCACCGCGCCCCGCCCGCCGCCCGCCTCAGCGCGGATCCCTCGGCGCCCGCCCGCACTCACGGAAGTATCCCAGCAGCGACACGCCGCGTCCGTGCCGGGCCAGCGATAACGCGTGGTGCTGCATCCGCGGGCTGCGGCCCAGGTCGCCCAGCACCGCCACGCACACCCGGCCCGCACCGCGCACCGCCCGCCGCCGCCACAGCATCGCCGCCAGCGCCGCCAGCGCCACCGACGCGGCCAGAGCGCCGCCGCCGGCCGCCATCTTGGGAGCCCGGCCGGGCACAGCGCCCCCTTCCTGCCTGGCCACGACGGCTCCTGCCGTTCATTGGGAGATCGGTGCCCGAGCGCGAGAAGAAGGGCGTTTGGAGGCTGCGTGTGCGAGCGACAAACACTGAGCGATGGCGAGAGAAGGAAAACCCAGAGAGCGAGCTCGCGGTGCTCTCAAGGCCCTTCGCACGCTCACACACGCATCTGCCAGCGTCCAAGACTGACCAAAGCGCGATGGAATGCAGCACCGTTAACATCACCTGCACACAAAACACATCCAAACCAGGATATCGCAAGGCGGATCCATCTTCAGCACTGCCTACAGAAAGTCTACTGCCTGGGCAACAGCTTTTACACCACCCTGGAATGGTTCTGCACACAGATTTCCTCTCCCCATTCTCCCCAGTCCCCGCCTGCCAGCATTCACAGCTCTGGACCCTGCCTGGCCCTGTCAGCGCGCCCACCCAGCACCGCCATCCCACGGAGCTGGATCAACACGCTCAATGCATTGACTGCTCAGGACTCGGAGCAGGCAGAAACATGCAGCGCTTCCTCTGCACGGCCCTGCATTTCCAACCTGCACTTCGTCCCCCAGCTGTGACCGTCTGCTCACCTGAGCACTCCGCACAGGCACTCACCCCTGCCACAATAGTGCTCTAACAAACGATTGCCCACTACTTTCCCCAAAAACACTGTGCACCACCACTGACAGCACACTACTTCCAATCGCAGATGTCTTTCGTCTCTCTCTGAGCAGGAAGGTCCCCCCTCTGACGGCAGTCTTGAGAAAACGGCATTGAAGCTGAGGAGGAAGATCTGGATTTGGTCTGTTGGACTGGCGTGCTAAGTGCATTAGCTGACCTTTGAAGTCCCGAGACATTTCCTGGCACTGAAGCTGGCAGACAGGCTTTCTGTGAGACCACAGCAGCGTTCCTGTGGTTAAACTGGCAAGGGAAGGCATCCTGTCCCACAGAACAGCACCAAGTTACACGTGAGTTATGACGTGGCTCTCCTTGCTGCAGTACTTTCATACATCCGTCCAGGACAATCTGACAGCTCACAGGAATCATTTCCCACTCCCAGGTAACACCCCCAACGCAAGAAAGCAGGTTTAGGTGCTTGCACCATCAGGGATCTGCCTCAGTCCCTGAGACAGTTTGACAGCACACAAAAGGCAAGGAAAACAGGAGAGGAAACTGAACCTTTCAGCTCGATAAAGACCACTTCAAACTTGCTATTCCCTGCCACCTCAAAAGTGCCACAGGCTTTAGAGTTCCTTTTTCTGCACCGTAGAGCTCTGTCTGCAGCCTGGCTCTGTTTGTATCACTTCCATCAGGTAGCAAAAATAATTTCAAGGCAGGCAGCTGATGCACTGGGACGCAGCAACATTCGTTACGGTGCTTTGCTCCCAGAGGTCACATCATATCCCAGACCAACCGAGGAGAAATTACTCTCTCCTCTGCACAGCCTCTGCAGCCTTCCCACAGCCCTTGAGGACGGTAGGGATACGGCCTGGCAGAAAAGGGATTTCCCTTCTGCTGGGGAACAGGTGCCCAAGGAACGTTCACATCCCACGTGCCGCTGTGTAACCGCTCCATGCCCGTGCCCCACGTGCTTCTGGATGGGCAGCACAGCTTTTGGTTCACTCAGCCACCTGTGGCACAGCACATCAGGCTTTCTGCAGGCATGGGAAATCATCCCATCGCTTTGTGCCTTACAAGGAAAAGGAAAACTTCCACTTGTGAGAGTCCGACTTCCAACCCTTACCGCCTGCAGTGAAAAAGATGCCGTTTTTCTTGTATCCTTCAATTCCAAGCCCATATTTTCCAGAAGGCACAAGAATTCAAATTTGAACTCCAGCGAGCGATTTCAGTGCCTATTTCTGATTGTGGCAATTACTCAGTTCAGAGGTCCCACTTAATTTGAGGTGCCTGTTTTTATTCAGACAAAGGCTGCAGTTGCAGCTGACTCCCCAAGACTGCAATAGGAGGTGGTGACACAGCCTTGGGCTTCTGTGTTTGTGCTAATCCCACGTTTCCTTTCTCTGCCTTGCAGGGCAGCTCGTGCTGCAAGCGGCCAGGATCGCACTGTGAATGAAGGTCGGCGTGGGAGCA